ATGTGGTCCACTGGAGAAGGAAATGGCAACCCACTCCAGTATCCTTGCCAAGAAAACCCCGTGGACAAATTCTGCAAGGATAAAAGTGTTTAAAAGCAGCTAGCCTCAATTTAGGCTTTCTGATCTCCTCCTTGAAGCTGGCGTCTTGCCCAGAAGGTCCTACTACTTCCTCTAGAGGGCACACAGGGTCTAACATGCTACAAAGTTTTAAAATGTCATGTCTTGTTCAGGTTGAAGTGAATTAGATCAAAAACTTGAGTTTTATCATAAAAAGCAAGTGTGTGTGCTAATTTTGGAGCTGATAATAATAGCAACTTGACCACACAGCAACCTTTACAGCTCAAGTCTTCCAGTTTGGCAGGTGCTGTTAGTGGTTGAACGGTTGCTAATCTGGGGACTAAAAGACCACTGTGGTGCCCCACACCACTCCAGCAGAGCTGCCAACCTATTTTTGCACACACAGCCTGAAAAAGGGATGCTAGTTAAGTCCACTGCACCCATAGAGCCCAGAAATTAATGAGTTTTAGTCTCAGTGTCCTATCCCAAGTGTCATGGCTACCATGCGAACACAGCTGAAGAAACATCGGAGGTGTGGAAGGAAGGATCCAAACTATCATAATATGTGCACTCATAATCTCTTTTGTCAGCAAGAGTATGCTGTTAAGCTGGCAAAAGAGGTGATTAAAAAATGTCCAGGAAACTCAGCCCAATCCCTGTCTCCTAGTTATCCCTAAAGCTGCAATACAGCCTCACATTCTGATGTATTCTCCTGCCAGCTATACCCACCCTCCCCCAAAGTGTTTCAAAAGCCACAGACACAGTATGCACTTTCAATTATAGGGTGCACAATAGGGGGCTATATTAGTTCGGCCTGTTTCATAACATAACTACCACTTACATCCTTCTCCCCCAGCTTACTATACAGAGCACCTGTACACTGGCTAGGCAAGTAAGATGTCTTCTAGCAGGTGGGGCACCTGTTGAGTTGAGAAGAGGGAAGGGTCATTTCTGACCACAAACTGCAGAAAGAGGAGCTTTGTTTCCATCAGTCCACAAATACAGGTGAGCTTCAAGCTGTGCACTGATCATGATTGTTAGAACTGTGCCAACTTTTGGTCCTCTGGAAAATACTCATAACTCTCTCTACTTTTGCAGAATAGATACTCGCAATATAGAGTGGAAGAGAAAAAAAGACTCCTTACAACTTTCTTCAGGTGATGGCTCCCTGTTTCTTGAGGCCCCAGATTTTCTGAAATGATAATTGATTTTCCAAATACAGACATCGGAGGATCTCCTATGGATATTGATGAAATGAACCCTGAGAACTGGTAGAATATTCAGGTGTATTTTATGCTCCCTCATCAGTTACTTATCCTTGCTGAACATCTAAGTACACAAATTAACTCTTGCAGCTGCTGACAATAATTGATTTCTGTCCTGTCTTTTGGTGCATCACATTCGATCAAAAAGCTCTGCAGCTCATCAGAGGAAAGATATTTCTTCTTCCAGGGAAGGCACTGTGTTAGGATGAGCAAAAGGGAAAAAAGGCGCTGGCACCAGTTTATCTCTCTTTCAAGACCACAGTGCAGCTGTCCTCTATGAGGTTGCAAATACTGTTGGAGTTGATGATGTCCTATATGAACTAAAAAGCACTCGGGGACGGCTTCCCTGTTTCACTTCTCCAAACACTGTATCAAGAAGATGCCATGCACCTTTATCTTTGCATATTAATCCACTTTTAATCATCAAGAAAGGTTAAAACATAACAGGGCAATCCAGGCATGTTTTACTTCCATGCCCACTCAAGCGAGGCAAATTCCTTACTTTACATCAGCTCAGGCCGGCCCAGCCTCATCAAACAATCTCCAAGTCCAAATTGTCCCTTTCCA